ATATATTCTAAATGATTTATTGTTTTAAATGATGGTTTTGTATTGCAGATAGTTGAATGTAGGCGTGTGTTAAAATGGACATATGCATATGGGTATTACTTACCTGAGCAAGAAGTAGCAAAAAGACAGTTTTTTGAGTATTTACAAGGTATGTGTCTATATTCCCATTTCTCCTTCCCCCACATTGTACACAAAATAAAAGTGGTAAATGACCATATTACCCTCGCAGGTGAAGCAGAGGCTGGTTTAGAAAGGCTTCATCAATGTGCTGAAAAGGAATTACATACTTACATTGATGGAAATGCCTCTCAAGAGGAGTTCAATAATTTCAGAACAAAGTTGGCTGGTTTGACCACGTAAAATTCAATCCTTCTCTTAAAGTTTTGATTTTTTTTTCTGGGTTTATAAAATCTTGAAAAAGTTATTATTATTATTTTTTAAATAGTGTGACACGCAATTACTTTGAGAATTTGGTGAGAGCATTAGAAAATGGGTTATCTGACGTGGACTCACACGGGGCATCAAGCAAAACAAGCACCTCAAAACACGCAGCAGGGACAAGTAAGTCAAAAAGTGGAAAAGGAAAGGGGCCCACAAAGGGTGGTGGGTCAACTCGGACCGATGATTTGACCGGGTGGTCATGCGATCAGTGCACTTATATGAACCCAAAGAATGCCACTTCTTGTCAGATGTGTCACACCAGTCGGTGATATTTATTAAATCAAAAAGTTGACTATGTGTTGACCTTCCGGAAGCAAAAGGATGAAAGGATTGGAGGGCATATAAGTTATTTCAATTTGTAATGTGGGGGTGGGGTGTATATAGATGGATGGTTGGGTTTGTTGTGATGATGACTGGTTGGTGGTGAAAGATGTGTAGATTTGATGTTGGTGTTTTTTTTGAATTGTGGATGGTTTGTGGTATGTAATGTTGTAATGGAGTTTTATACAAAAACTTGTTTATGTAGGCATGTTACTTGTTTGTTTAGTTTGTTTACTCAAAAGTATGTCATCTGTAAAGATGATAGCAATTGTTGGTGTTTCCTCTACCCTTCTTGCCATTACTTATGTGTTTAAGATGATGGTTAATGCAGAAGAAAACAACCATGCAACATATAGGGGAGAGAAGCACTCCAAGGAAAAAAAAACCATAATGTAAATGCCAACTAAGCAACATTAAGGATCAATGCACTACAAAAGAAGACACAAAGACATGATAAAAAAACAAGAAAACATATGTTATAATACGGGCATGCCTTTTTTTAGTTGGTGAATTGTTGGTTTGTTATTTAACAATTAACGACGATGTTGTTAATGTAATGTTCTTGATACATATTATATAATGTAATCGTTGTTCTCTTGTAACGTTCTTGTTCCCCATTAATGTAATGTGTGTATACATCAGAAACAACATTAATATAACAAACAAGTGCATTAACTTAGAAACAATTGCTTAGAATGGATGTGGGAGCCGGAGGACGAGACGAATGAGCATTATCCAGAGTTATTTCCGACAACAGACTTCGAGGACGAAGTCTGATTCAAGTGGGGGAGAATTGTAGCACCTGAGCCGTCAGGTATGCAGTCTTCGACTTAATCTATTTTCAATTCAAGTTAAGGTGGTGGAAGGATGGTGAGTACGCTGGGCATACATTATGTACGCATGGCATACTCGATGCATGCGCACCATCGGGGGATCCTTAACGTACGTTGGGCGTACCCATCCGTACGCTGGGCGTAATCAAGTCAGGGGCAAACCCTAATTTTTAGGGTTTGCACTCTATTTAAAGTCCTTAAGTCCCTCATGATCTTTACCCTCTCAGCCTCCATTGACCTTCTAGTGCAAATCTCGAACCCTAGCTTGCTTGAGTGCATCTTTGAGCATACATTGGTTATTTTGGTGATATTTGTTGGTTTTGAAGAAGGAAGGTTGGGAAGAAGCAAGTGAGAAGAAAGTGCTTGTAGATCCAGAAGTTTGGCACCATTTCTAGCCCATTAAAGGTATAAAGTTTTGAACCTTGATCATTACAAGCTTAGATCTAGGTTTAGGGTAGAAAATGGTATCTTTTGGTCCCATAGTTTGGATTCTAGGAGTATGAGCAACTTCAGGCCATATGAGTTGTCCTTTTGGACTCTTGGAAGTGTTTTTAGTCATAAAAATCGGATCTTGGTGGTTAAGACCCCACCATGCAAGTGCTAGTAACCATCCAAGTGAGTTAATTGACTTAATTCATGATTTGAGCCCCATCCTTGCATGCAAAAGCATAAAGTTTGCAACTTTATGGCTTAAGACGTTATTAGGGACTTGGATCTAAGTTTTGGACGTTACGACTTAATGGATTAAGTCATGGTAGTGTGTTTGGGTTGGCAGACCAGTACGCCATGCGTACTCCAATGTACTACGCTGCGCGTACTAGGTCAGCATCCTGACTCCGGATCAACACCAGCGTACGTTGGGCGTATAAACTAAGTACGCCGCGCGTACGCGGTCAGTGGGCCTAGAATATTTTTTGGGCTCGTCTGGTATTGGGCTTTGGACTTGTGTAAGTTGGGCCTCGGGCCCACCTGATTGTAGCATGTCATTTTTTTGGGCCTAAGGCCATGTTTGGGGTTCTTGGGCCATATTGGGCCTTAGAGGTCTTATAGTTGGGCTTGGATGCCCTTTTTGGACTTTGATTAGACTTGGGCCTTGGGAGGAGGGAGGCCTAATGAGGCAAAAATAAAGAAGCCCTTTTGCCTTAAGTCAAGACTTAGGATTTTGGACTTTCGGTTAGAATGTGACCTAATTTCTAATTAGGGTTTTATGCTCGTGCAAAAGGGAGAGGAGTTCGCGAGTCATCCGCTGAGTGCGATTTGATACCTACAGTTTGAGGTGAGCCTTCCTTCGCAGTATCCGTGGGTCGAAGGCACAAATGTCGGCCCACTAGTTTATGATGTAGTGTGATGATTGTCTTTGTGACAATTATCTGTTATGACTGTATTTGCTTAATGACTGTGATTTCTGTTATGATATTATGTGGTAGTAGTAGTGGGGGTGAAATAGACCCGGTATGCGGTTGAAATAGACCGAAGGGGATTGCAAGCACCCATATATGCTTGATAGTATTCAGTTAAAATAGACCGAAGGGGTAGGCAAGCACCCAGATGCTTGATAGTATCCGATTGAATTAGACCGAAGGGGTAGGCAGGCACTTAGATATGCTTGACAGTATGTTTATTTAGTATGTGGTATTTTGGGAAAATCACTAAGCTTTGTGCTTACATCTTTCAATTTATGTTTCTAGTACTTCCAGTTCGAAGGGGAAGGGCCCAACTTGATTGCACCACATTACTCTATGATTTCCGCACTTAGTGATTTAGGGAATTTGTACTCTGATAACATGTTACTATTATACTCTTTCGACTATTTTGATATCAGTTTCTTATGAATTGAATGAATTTAAAAACAAAATTTTATATGTATTTTTGGGACGTTACATACTTGAATTAAAAGCAAAGTCATTTTGGGTTGCCTTCAAAACTAGTAATTGTCTAGAATGACTTTTGGAGAGAGAGGATGATTTATTGGTTTATTATATGATTAATAAATATCAATAAATAATAAGTTAATATATTATGATACTAATATATTAATTAGAAATAGTATTATTTAATTAATAATTAATCAGAAATTAATTAGAATTAATTTTGGGATTAATTGGATTAATTAAAAGTGCAATGACTTAAGCTGTAATTGTTCAATAGTTGAGCAATAAGGTATTCCATAACCTTCCTATGCCTTGGATGGTTTTAGAGGCATATAGGGTTTTTAGAATATTCATTAAGGATAATTACTAATGTGGATAATTACCTAATTTGAAATAAAAGTATTATATTCAAATTAGGGTTTCCAGGGTTTCCTAGTTCATCTATAAATAGGACCTTTAGCCTACAATTTTCGGCCACTAATATTCTAAGAAGAATAGCCGAAAATTTCATCCCCTCCCCCCTCTCCTTAAGTGTTCTAATTGCTAGGGTTTGGGTACAAACCATCAGAGATATTAGATTTCTGGTGATTGCTTTCTAAGAGCTTCTTGAAGAAGGATTTGGTTGATTATTTGTAATAATAATCAAAAGGTATGTTAACCCTAATTCCTTGTAATTTTCAATTATAGTAGCGTTTCTTTAGGGTTCTTGATGTTCATAGATTGGTGCTATCAATAGAGAAAATTTAGATCAAAATAGGTTGCATGTGAACTTAATGGTTAAGTTTTTTCGCCACATGTTTTAATTATAACCTATAAAACCATCAATTATAACATCCATGGAGAGAAATGTTTTATTCTTTAAGAGAATTGTGCTATTAATTCACTCCAAACTGTATAAACACATACAATAATAACAAGTGGGGAAGATAGAACATTAGCAATCAATATCGACTAGGGAACACTATACTGATGTCTCATTGTATTGAAACACAATCGAAACACGATGGTAACGAATGACCGATACAATAATCACATTGCAATACTAGACAAATATGTAAAGATATAATCTCCAAACCCTTAAATAAATGAAAATAGATGACCTATAACTCTTTAACGATGAATATTTATGTCGGGATGGTTGAACGGAACACCAGAAACATACAAAACATTACTACTTGCAAAGAAATAGGTGCACACACATGCTTGACGACTTTTATTTGATAGACAGTTGAATCATCTTAAATATTCCCCATGAAAATAACGGGTGTTCATGGATGTTTATTGGTGATGTGTCAGAAAAGGTTTTCCAACAAGTCCGTATGCATTTATTCACGACAATAGTTATTGAGTGTTGCTTTGCATATCCCCTTGAATTAACATAAATAAAACCCCTTCTGATTTGACATAAATAATCTATTTTGATTTAACATTTTTTTTGTCATTTTCATGTTTGTTTATTTGTTTATTTTGCTTTTTTTTTTTGTTTTGTTTTATTATTATTATTATTATTATTATTATTTCATTTTTATGAACGATCCTACATATTGTTCCGACTATCATTGTATTATTTTTTCGTTCCGACTATCTCTGTGTTATTTTTTTCGTTTTGAGTAACTAGGTACTACTTTTTTGTTCGGACTAACTATGTTTGTGTGTGAGTTTTATTTAATGGCTATAAAAATCGCAACAAAATAATAACATCAAATAGTTCGAACTAAAAAAATAACACAGTGATAGTTCTAATGAAAAAAAAAACACATTGATAGTCTGAATGAAAATAATAATAATAATAACACCATGATAGTCCAAATGAAAAAATAACACATGAATATTCGGAAAAAAATACAGAGATAGTCGGAACAAAAAATAACACAGAGATACACCGAACGAAAAAAATAACACATAGATAATCGGTACGAAAAAAACAACAGAATGTTAGTCGGAACGAAAAAATAACAAAGGGTAATCTAAATGAAAAAAATAACATATGAATAATCCAAACGGAAAAATAACATAGAGATAGTCAGAACAAAAAATAACACAGAGATACACCGAACGAAAAAAATAGCACATAGATAATTGGAACGAAAAAAACAACAGAATGTTAGTCGCAACGAAAAAATAACGAAGGATCATCTAAATGAAAAAAATAACATATGAATAATCCAAACGGAAAAATAAGATAGAGATTGTCAGAACAAAAAAAAAAAAATAAGAACACAATAATTGTCTGTATTAAAAAAA